ATGAGCAGCCAGTTTCTCCAAGAGAATGCTGGGGTTGTCAAAAGCTTTACTAAAGTCTGGGTGCACAACATCCACAGCCTTTCCGTTCTCCTCTAAGTGGGTCACCTTGTCATAGAAGGAGATCAGGTCAGTCAAGCAGGACCTGCCTTTCATAAACCCATGCTGACTGGGCCTGATCACCTGATTGTCCGGTATGTGCAGTGTGATGACACTCAAGATGATCTGCTCCATAACCTTCCCTGGCAGTGAGGTCAGACTGACAGGTGCGTAGTTCCCCGGATCCTCCTTCTAGCCCTTCTTGTAGATGAACATCACATTTACTAACCCTGGGTCAACCGGGAGCCCTCCTGGTTAGCCAGGGCTGCTGGTAGCCGGTTAGCCAGGACTGCTGATAAATCATGGAAAGTGGCTTGGTGAGCAATTCCACCAGCTCCCTCAGATGGTGGACTCCATCTGGCCCCACAGACTTGTGTGTGGCTAAGCAGTGTAGCAGGTCGCTAACCATTTCCCCTTGGATTATGGAGGCTTCATTCTACTCCTCATCCCTGCCCCATCTCCTCTGTGCTGAGTTCCTGAAACACACTCTCCCTTGAGGCCTGCAGCTGGAGGGACGGTGCAGGGATGAAATCCTGCCATGCTGGACCATGTGCTCTGGCCACCCTGGTGCTGTGGTTGGGCTCGGAGCGTGCCTGCGAGACGGGAGCCTCTCCTGGCAGGCGCTGGGGTGTGCCTGGCTGGAGAAGCAAAGGCTCGGGGTGATGGGATGGCTTTATGCACTGGCAGTGGCTGCACCTCCCATTTGGGGATAGGGAGACCCGAGGTGTTGGTGGAAGGATGGTGCTTCCTTTGTACCTCCTCCCCTTTCCCTTCCATGTAAGAGGTTGCTGTGGCTGTTGGTGAGGATAAAAGCAATTAGGGGGTTTGCACAAATATTCATTGGATGATGGTGTGGCCGCAGAACAAGCCTCCCTCATGGCTTTGGCTTCCAAAGACAGGATGCAATTTGGTGCATGGGTGTCTTTTAAGCTTAGACTTCAAAACCGGCACACTTAAAAACCCTGTGAGTCAATACGTGTGGAAAGCAGGACCGTTGCCCCTGAGGCGCAGGGCTGCAGCTGGCGCTTCAGTTCTGCTTGTTTTAGAGGGGGGTTAATAATAATTTTGTTTACTTTGAGTCCAAAAAGCAGTGTGGGGTGGGCTGAGGATGCTGTTGGTGGTCGGCTGCTGTGTTCTCCCCATGGACTGCTGGAGCGGGTTTGTAGCAGAGACCTGGCAGAGTGCTCCTTTGGCTCTGTGCAGGGCTGAGCACCGGGATGGACAAACTTCATGTCAGCTCAGCAGAGACCTTTGCTGCTGTTCCCCACGGTGGAGGGACGGTTCGTCTCTAGGCTTATCCAGATGACAGCAGGGCTGGAGTGGTGACGATGTGCAGGAGCATTTCTTGTTTGTGTTTTTGCCTGCTGTCAGTCACCCAAGCCTTCCATCTTCTGCAGTGCTGCAGATGATCTTTCCAACAGCCTCTGCCTGTAGCAGATTGCCAGGGAGTGAACACATCCCCACTGTAAGGAGCCCTGAGACATCCTTTCTTCACCAAGACTGTAGCTGCCACAGTTCTAGGTATCTCCTATTTTTAAGCAGAGCTTTCAAAGCAGTAAACCAATTTATTTCTCTTGGTCACTTTGATTAAGCAGTGAAGTCTGCTTGGCTTGCAGAGGATGCTCTTCTGTTGTACAAAGCTCAGGTTGCCTTTTCCTCAGGCTTTGTTTGACCAAAAAGCAGCAGTGATGCTCTTGAGTGCTGAGGTTGCTGTGGATGGGGAGCTTGGTTGGAGGGCACCGCTCCTGGGTGCAAAATGGGACCTTGATGATCCTTTATTTTAAACGTGCTCCCCAGACACCCACACTGTGGTGTCCCAAGAAGAGCCCAGAGGCAGTGGCGGGTATGAATGGGTTGGAAGGAGAATGCACTGTCCCTCCATCCTCCCCTGGCCCCGAGCAGGAGGAGGGGGAGCAGGAATATGCCAGAGTTTGCAGCTGCTCAGTGTGAGCTCTCAGAAGTCTCCCAGGGGGATTTTTCTTGGCTGCAGTTTTTACCTAACAAATGTTTTCCCCCGGGCTGTGCCATACACGCTCTGCTGCTGGAGCAGCTCTAAACGCAAGGAAACCGCACAGGTTTGTTCGGGGTGGGGGATGATGGCTTCTTCCTCCTGCCTCTTGCTTTTATGGGGTTTCTGAGGCTTTATGGCTCCCCAGGTGTGGGGCCCAGGGGGATTTTTCTTGGCTGCAGTTTTTACCTAACAAATGTTTTCCCCCGGGCTGTGCCATACACGCTCTGCTGCTGGAGCAGCTCTAAACGCAAGGAAACCGCACAGGTTTGTTCGGGGTGGGGGATGATGGCTTCTTCCTCCTGCCTCTTGCTTTTATGGGGTTTCTGAGGCTTTATGGCTCCCCAGGTGTGGGGAGCAGGAGCCCTGGCTCTTATGGGGGTGCTGGCAGCACCCCCCCTCTT